TGATGTGAGATCACACAGCACAGAATTTGACGCTTGGCTTGCCTTAAACACAGACACCCTCTCCACGCCTCTTCAGACACATCTACCCCCTCTGTCCACTTCACCCTCAGACATGATAACCCCACATCCCCCTTAACTGTTCCAACGACCCCACCACCCACCCCAACATCAATTTCGAATATATATTCATTTACTTATTTAAAGTTCTAAATCAGGCTTCTCACCCCTCATCTTTCACACAGGAACATTTTGAAAACTCAATGCGACCAGTATATAAACTGGTCAACATATTTTGTTTCCTTACATAAAAAACGCATCGCTGTCCCATTGACCCACCCCAACCCCCCCCCTCCGTCTTTGAACAATTTCTTTTCCACTCCCCACCCGGAGTCCTGACACTTTCATTTGACCTTCACCCCTTTTACTGTTATCACATAATCTATTTTATTAAAAAAATAAAAAAAATAAATAAATTAAAAAAAAATAAAAACAAAATTTCTATCCTATTTGTATTCTATCAAAAGTACATATAGAAGTTAGTACAACTACATTTGCAGTGGCGTAGCGAGGTCGGGTGTCACCCGGTGCGGCAGTTAATGGTGTCACCCCCCCCCCCCCCCCCAGAGGCATAGCGACCCTTCCCGGGGACAGACTTTCATATTTTCGATTTGCACCCCCCCTCAAGTTTTTCTCTATATATTTTGCTATTTTTTGCCTTGGTGTCACCCCCCCCCCCCTAAATGGTGTTACCCGGTGCGGTCCGCCCCCCCCCCCCCTCGCTACGCCCCTGTACATTTGTATCATTAACCATCCTGTAACAATGTTAACCACTTTCGAGTTCTTTACCAGCAAAAAATCACAATCATTCATTTTATATGATGGGTAGTAGTTGAATTTGTCATTTATTTATGTCTATGCTACTTGTGCTATAAGAATCTGATACACGTTCACTATTGTAATGAAAAGATATCTCATGTGTATATTAAAAAACAAATTGTGGTTGCAGATTTTAGTGCGATTGAAATAATTTATTTTTGACGGACATTTGTTTCCCAACTGTATTACAATATACTGTCAGTGATCAAGTACGAGTGAAGTTTGAAGACATTCATCAAATAGAAATAAATTTAAACTGAGTGACGCTATTTAATCCACAGCAGACACACTGACAGACAGACAACCAAACATGCACCGTATTCCCATCTTTATCTATATCTATAGATATGATATTTGTTTTAAAAAATATTGACTTTCTGAATTATGATACATGAAAGATAGCTCCAACGTTAAGTGAAATATTGAGTGCAATATTTGTGGAATACACAATTTCATATACATTGTTTTGTTTGTTCTTACATGTTGTAGTTGATCGAAAGTAGAAAATTAACCACATGTTAAGTACATAAAAAACACATTTAAAAAAAAAATGTTTAATTTCTTTACTTCAAGACTTTGACTTTCAAACTAAAAAAAACATAAATCCAAAACATAATTAAGTTTATTCATTTATTTTACTGAACGAAACCGATACACCGAAATAATTCATTAAATAGTTTGAACCAACAGTTGTTGGTTAATTCGCTGTTTTAATCGACAAAATGTGATCTTTGAGTGTTGGACTTTTAGATTATATTAATTTTAACAAAGTGAATTGCATTAAAACCATTATCCATGTAGAGAATAGTGGCACAAGCATCAATATCATCCAACACTCACTAAAACATATTTTCTCCACATTATAAAGGTAGTTGTACACAACCTCAGCCATACATTCCCCCGTGTAGCTACCCATGTCTAGCGAAGTTAAAAAAAACGTGTAACGGGTAGCTCATCATCTGGTGAAACATACCTCACAATCACAGTCAGCTGATCAAATTTAGTCCGTCAATTATTGAGTCATGTTTGGGCCCAAAGAAAGTTGGGAAACTAACCTAATGCCTGTTTAGCTGATACGTAAATCCTACAGTGTAGGCCTTTATATTGTTGTATTTAAACTAAACGATTACAAAATTTAAATTAAAATTGTCAGTTTAGAATTGCCGTAGATATGTACTTTTTTATATCAATTTTTAAAACAAAACTAAACGATTAAATAATTTTAAATTCAAATTGTCAATCAGGTTAGAATTGCCGTAGTTATGTACTTTTTATATCAATTATTAAAGCAAAACTAAACTATAAAATAATTTTAAATTAAAATTGTCAGTTTAGAATTGCCGTAGATATGTACTTTTTTATATCAATTTTTAAAACAAAACTAAACGTGCTTAACAGTTGCCTTTGCTTGAATTTAAACTTATCAAGGGAGACAACATTTACAAATGTGCATAATTATCAATATCAAGTTCATGGAAAAACTCTACCTTTAAAACCCCTTAATGCCTGAATTATGTTCCAAGCGTGTAAAAAATTATTTGTGTTGATTTTCTCTCATCATACTGACACTGAATTTGAGGTATATAGTTGTTTTTGAATTTGGACTTATTTTTGATGATAATTACGGTATGTCGCGAAAACGCGACATCAGGCACTTATGGACCAAACAGTAATTTAATTTTTTTTTAGTCCGGGTCATTTTACTATTTTTACTGTCACATGTTTCTCTAAATATCCATGCACAAACAATAAAATATCACAAACTGAACATACGGACATGCAAGGAGATGTAGAATCACTTGCAAAACTCACGAAAACTATACTTTATTAGCTCAGGCATAGAGTTACATAACTCTGATGCACCTGCTCACTGCCTAACTCTTATGAATAGGTATTTTGATGTCTTGCTGTCGTAATTCTACTACACTACAGTAACACACTACATATGAAAGGACTTCCTTCAATGTGTAGAGCCTTAGTTGTCCCCGGTTACGTAATTTTCGTGAACTCTTATTCAAGGTAAACTAATAAAGACGCATATTTCTCCTTTGACCTATATTTGCTATACACACAAAGCACGTGAACAAATACTGTCCTAAATGACAGTGTTCAGCCATTGTATATTCTTCCATGCTCAATGCAGCTGCTGTGGGTACTTAGTGTCACTGATGTGGGTACTCAGTGCCACTGGTGTGGGTACTCACTGCTATTGTTGATGGTACCCTATGTTTCCGATTCGTGCTACGGCTATTGTTCTCGACTGATACTGATATTGATTACCAATGACAGTGCTGTAGCTACATATTGCCACTGGTATGGGTACTCAGTGCTGAAACAGTGGGTACTGAGTGTTGAAGCCATGTGTACTGAGTTCTGAAGCTGTGGGTACTCACTCTTGAAGCTGTGGGTACTCAGTGTTACTGCAGTCGGTTCTTGGTGTAACTGCTGTGGGTACTCAGCGCTGGAGCTGTTTGTAATCGATAACGTTGATGTGGGTACTCAGCCTTAGCAGGGGTACTTAGTATCACTGCTGTGAGTGCTTAGTGCTCAAACTGTGGTTGCTCAGTGTCACTGATGTTGGTACTCAGTGCTGAAGACGTGGGTACTCAATAACACTGCTGTCGGTACTAAATACCAGTATAATGCCACTAATGTGGGTATTCAATAGCACTGCAAAGGGTATGTGTGTCAGCACTCAACCTTACTGTATTTATTACAAGGTGTAGGTCTATGCTCAGTGTTATTATTGTCAAGGTCACTGTGAAGACCTTTATTTGGTGGTATCCAGGATAGTGGTCCACCACCTCACTTCCTGTTGTCTATTATGTTTTTTATGTTCTCCTAATATTTTACAATACTATTTCAAAGCTAAATTCGTTATATTGTACCCAGCAACATGATCACATTATTCAAGCATCGCTCTCTCTCTCTATATACTTCACCTACCACATGGACCGTAACGTTCTAAAGTCCACTTTTATATATAGGCGAAGACTATATTGTAAATCCCTTACTTATTTATAATCATACTTGAATGAATGACAGCTTGGCGATGCATCGTATTTCGTTATACCTGTTTGGCACCCAAGTTCCATTTGATGTCTTATAGCCGGATGTCGCGAAAACGCGACAAACCGTAATTAGCTTATAACTTCCAAAATAATTCTCATATGTGATTTATATTGTTTATATACATAAAAGAATGATTAATAAAGCTATTAGTATTTTTTGTAGCAAAAACCGATCACCTATTTAGTAATAATAATCAATGTAAGTAGGCTGAATTCACGAAGTCAAAAAAATTACGATGCGCGTGAGTCAAGAGAGTGTGACGTCATAAATTTCGACTTCACAACATGACCGCTGATACCGATACAACCGTCTGGATGTACCCAATACACAACGACCGGCAGCAGTAAGATAAATGTACATATGCGCAAATGCTATGCGCTAAATCGGTATGTCGCGAAAACGCGACAGTCGGCGTTAAGGGTGTAATAGGAAAAAAACGCAGTTATTGTAAAAAAAAATTATTTTTAAAACATTGTCGATATAATTAAGCAACTACTTTCTATTTTAAATTATAATTGTCTATAGTTAAATATTGTGAAACCTTATTCTACCAGCACACTGTTTGCCTTAAATTCGAAACATGCCTTTGAAAGGCTGTGGTAGTGAATCTGTTTTGCATAATAATTTATATGTTGGATAAAATGTACAAATTAGTAAACATTTCCCCTGACCACTCTTGATATAGTTTAGTTAGTCATTGAGTAGTTATTTAAACACCTGATATAACATTATATTATTTTATTTTAGTAATAGGAAAACTCTTTTTAAAATCTTTTATTTATATAATTTTTGTCAGGAAAAGAAAATATTAAAAAAAAAAACCCATTTAACTGCATTTAACTTTATATGTCAGAATATTTCTGCCTCAGCTTAAAAAATGTGTACATGAATGTTGTTTTATCACTGTTTGAAAACTGATTGATGCTCATTTGTATGGTGTCTATATTAAAAGTACTGTAATAAAAAACTGATTTTAAATTTTTAGTAGTTTGCAAACAGTAGTTTTAAAATAAACATTGACATAAAAAAAATATTGCCGATAGGGACAAACAATGGATGTCTATTTACTGATTCTGCATAAAAAGACAACCATCTTTACAGATGCCAAGGAAGACACCAAAATGGGCGAGGTCGAAAAAATTATTGAAGGAATTCTTAAAGTACCACCAGATCAGATGAGGTTATACAAAGATGACACTATCAATATCATAGCTGATGAAAATAAACTATTGTCTGAGTACGGTTATACCAGTACGGTGGCAATAACTCAGTCGCCTGCTACTATTGGTTTGATTTTTTGGACAGAAGATGTTGAATGGGAACAGTTGGACATTCATCCCTTGTCTAGCCCACCTGAACTGCCCGATGTCATGAAACCACAGGATGCAAACCAGGCTCACCAACCTTAATCTAACACTATGTAAAGCAACTAGCCCAGAGAAACTTAGAGGGAAAATAACGGCAATAAAGCAAATACAAACACTTAGATAATCCTTGGCTTTTTAAAAATTTGATAAAGCTTATTGGCTTTGAGCAACACATTATAAAGTAAGCTCATATTTAGGAATATACATTAAAATGTTTTTAAATTAGAGTAGATATGTAAAAGCCGTACTAGTTTTATTATTATAAGCAGTTATTGTATTTGATGTTACACGTTTTTCCCACGTTTTCTTTAACTTGCTTTCTCTGTGTGTTTATTTGTTTGTCTTTCCAATCAAATCTTGCGATCGAAATTTCTGGCACTTCCCAGTTAGCTAGCGCGCTGAAATTTTCAGGGAAGCTTTCTTTTGGATGACCATTGAATATTCAATTGTTATTATTACTAAATTGATCAATGGAAACAATTTATTGAGCATTTTAGACCGCTATATAATCTATATATATAATTCTCCTCTGCTAGCCATTAGAAAAAAAACCAGCGACGCGTACCTCGCGCGCAGTGAAGCGAACGATCACATGTCGCCACAGGCTTAGGGGCAGAGAATTTAGCTTGAACCGAGTTTAAACTTACAGGAGGTAGGCCAGTTTGGGGGAGACGATATGGTCGAGTGGTTGGGCACACGATTGCTATCCCACTCGACACGGGTTCAAATCTATGTGTTCTAGTCAGTAACGTATTCAAACAACGTGTTTTTTACGAGTTGTCTTTTTACGAGTTGTCTTTTTACGAGTTGTCTTTTTACGAGTTGTCTTTTTACGAGTTGTCTTTTTACGAGTTGTCTTTTTACGAGTTGTCTTTTTACGAGTTGTCTTTTTACGAGTTGTCTTTTTACGAGTTGTCTTCGTTTACCCAAAAAAAGTGAAAAGATAAAATCGATAGCAAGATTTTAATGCAAACAAACAGACAAAGACTAAAAAGTAGAAAATAATAATCATTAAAAAAGTTTTAAAAAACCCACGTTTTCTGATTGAACTAAAAAGTAGAAAATAAATGCTATAGGCCCTACATCACAATAATGCAAGCGATCACTCTACTATAAGCGAGCAAAAACGTGGGGCGCCGTGATTTTCTTACAGTTTCTAATACTGTTGACTCTCTACAAGCTCCCTAATAAAAGTCAATAGTATTATCTAATCAATAGTAATATAACTTTTACTTCGGCGCCCCACGTTTTTCATCGCTTATAGTAGAGTGATCGCTTGCATTATTGTGATGTAGGGCCTATAGCATTTATTTTCTACTTTTTAGTTCAATCAGAAAACGTGGGTTTTTTTAAACTTTTTACTTTCTCGTATATACGAAGTATAGAGAAAGTCTTGTAATCGTGCAAAAAAAAAAAATCGAGATTTTTGCAAATCTCGACGTTTTACATCTCACTGATACGGAAAAACATAATTTTGCAATCTTGTCCGTATGTCTGTGTGTCTGTGTGTGTGTCTGTGTGTGTGTGTGTCCGTGTGTAAACACGATAACTTGAGTACCGTTACAGCTAGGTTGATGAAATTTCATATACAAGTATTTTATCAAAATCGTAGATCCGTATCAACTTTTGAGCGATTTCGGATAACCGGAAGTGGTACTTTTTCTACTTTGAATTTTTCAAAAGCCTATAACGTGAGTACTATTTCAGATAGATAAATGAAATTTGATATGTAAGTAAACGATCTAATTCTCTACCTTCTGTCAAATTTTGAGAATTTTTCGTTGACCGGAAGTACTTATTTACGCTACTTCCGATTTCTCAAAAAACTAATGTAAATTTTAAAAGTACTAATAATATTGCGCACTATTATTCTATTATGTGCTTTTTTATTCGCGTTCACTTGGTGTGCAATTAATTTGTCTACGAGATTTTATTCTATTTTTAAAACTTTAAGTATTTAAAATGGATTAAAAATCATGTCTAGAAGTCTATAGCCCGAGTTCCCATCCCCTGTTATTTTATATAAGAATATTCGAGAAAGTTTAGGGGAGATCACTCCCGGTTTATTTAATGATTATTATTTGTATGAGCGTTTAAATTAAGAGTGTAAGAACCACTTTAGCTACTTGTGTTTCAATTTCTGTGTGAATAATTTTTTTTCCACTTAATGGGTGTAATTGTTTTTCTTGAGGTTTAATATTGATTCTAATTATACAAAGTGTTAATTGAGAAATGTGTTCTTTAAAATATTATGAAACCTTGGTCATACTTATACATTTGATTTGGTAAAGAACCAAAACTATTGTGAAATTTGTATTTATAGAACATGAAAAGTGTTTTTATACAAGTTAATATTGTATCCTACAGTAACCTGGTCATGTTTCTATGTGTGTTACAGAGCGCAAGCCTTTTTTAAGTGACACCAAGTGTCAGGCATTTCTTTGGTGTTTTCTTTAAATCTTTATATCATTAGTGCAGATTTTTTTTTACTCTATACAATTAACCTTATTGATTTTGTTTACTAGATATTTAAAAAAAACAATGGGCACATTTTGAAGGCTTATATATAATTATAGCACTTTACTAGTCTTAAGGGTTTTCTTTATATGTATTTCTTGCCTGATTGTATAGACATATTTATTATAAACGAGCTGGGAAGTGTGTCAGTAAATTGGCCATGTGGTACCAGTCTTGTTTCAATTTGTAAAACAGATGGTTAATCTGCTCACTATGTATACACGATGACGCAACAGCCTCACGTCAGAAACACTGTCGACATAACCTTTAGGACTTTTTATAGATTTGACCTGCTAAGCTTTTGAATGTTTTCTATTTTGTAATGTTGACCAAAAATAAATTAAATCTTTATTTCTACCACTCAAAAAAAAAAAAATTTAAAAAAAGTAAAAAAAAAAAAAAAAAAAAAAAAAAAAAAAAATATATATATATATATATATATATATGTATATGTGTATGTGTATGTGTATGTGTATGTGTATGTGTATGTGTATGTGTATGTGTAAGTGTATGTGTATATGTATGTGTATGTGTATGTGTATGTGTATGTGTATGTGTATGTGTATGTGTATGTGAATGTGTATGTGTATGTGTATGTGTATGTGTATGTGTATGTGTATGTGTATGTGTATGTGTATGTGTATGTGTATGTGTATGTGTATGTGTATGTGTATGTGTATGTGTATATGTATATGTATATGTATATGTATATATATATATATATGTTACGGTCAAAGCCCGAAGTCGGCCAATGCTAGGATTGGCCAGCCAATCCGCGCATTGGCCAATATCGCCTCCCATAGGTCGGTCAAAGTCCGAAACTTTGCTTCATTTCGGCCTTTGGCCGGCCAATCCGCAGACTGGCCATTGTGGACCGGCCAAAGTCTGAAATAGCTCTTGATTTCGGCCTTTGAGCAGATTTTTGTTTTTTTTTTATGCCGGTAGGATCATGAAATTAAGTCTTTATTGATTAAAAATTAAAGTAAATGACAGAAACATTCACATTTTTTATTGTACTATAGTCTCAATCAATCAATATTATCATTTGTTACAAGTTGAACTTTTATGGCATTTAGAATTACATAGCAGCTTGTTATTTTTACACTTGCAGCGATTTGTTGTGCACTTGGTTGTGCAATTGCAGCGAGTGTAGCCTTGGCCCCCAGTCAATGATTGTGAAGATGCGATGGTTCGTAGTGATTTTTCCTCAGTGCCAACTGACGACAATAAGAGCAGTTTTTCATGAAGAATTGAAAACTCACTTCTAGCATACAGTTGTTTTAGAACACCATGTTCCGTTCCTAATTTGTAAAAACCGCCCTCGACGCTCATGACAACTGCAATCACGCTTCGGGGATCACCGCGACCTCTGTCAACATCTGGAACACGGATGCATACATTGTCACCCACTTCACCATTTTTAAATTTTGTATTTGATGTTTTAAGCATCTTAGCACCTTGATTTTGCAAGCCAGTATGAGCTGCTGACCTGTGTTCCATGATGTCTTGTTTGTTGTGACATAATCTGCAGGTAATGTTCCCTCCGTACCCTTCGTCTGCTTCATTGGGTACTCCACAAATAGCATGGACATCTTTGCCACAGGATCCACAAGATTGAGCTGCACTACAATGTTTTTCACAAACTATACAGAATCTGTTGGCCACATTATTGTCACGCAACTGGTCTGGACGTTCCTCCACGGCAGTAGATGTGTTAGCTGAGGATGTAGTTGCATTTATGGCAACCTCCATTTCTTGTTCAATGTTCTCAAGATCTTCCTCAGTAACTATTTTATTGAGAGCCTCTCTTGGTAGATTTGAAGCGCTAAGTCCCACTTTTGCTTTGCATCCAAACAAGGCTTCGTATGGTGATTGTTGGATTCCTTGATGAAAAGAACGATTTTTCATAAATTGAATGAATTTGAGACTCTCAGCCCAATGAGCTGATTCATTTGTTTGCATCCATGTCATCATCATGTTTAGAACATCTTGGTTGGCACGTTCGACTGAACCTTGGCTTTGGCTATGCCTTGGTTTTCCGTGAACTAGTTTAAGTTCAGGCCACATGTTCTTTAGTTCAGAAATAACTTGATTCACAAATTCTCTTCCATTATCTGATTGAAGCACACTTGGGGCACCAATAGTCGTGAAGATATCCAGCAGCTGGTAAGCAACTTCTTCTGCTCTTTTGGTTTCCAAAGCTCGCAACAATATGAACTTGGTTAAATGATCCTGGTAACTGAGTATAAACTTGTATTTGCCGTCTGGGTTACTTTGCATATCAATAAGATCTACTTGGCATCTTGAGTTAAATTCTTTAAATATCAAAGGTTTGGAAACAAGACCTTTCTTGGGATTAGACAATTTTGTCTGACAAGGCTTGCACAACCGAAGACACATAGTGATGATTTCTTTGGTGATATTTTTGTACTTTCTCTTGAGCTCTTTTTCCATCCTTGTGCGACCTCCATGTCCGATTTTCAAGTGAGTTTCATTGATCAAGTCGAACAACTCTTCTGAGTGCACAT